TAACTTTCAAAATTAAAATTGTACTCTACCTTATTTATGTGCACAAATATGCTGTTAGTTATTTAGCGTGTACTTTCCTTACTTGAAAATATTCTGTACTTAGTCCTTATTACATGCCACATGCTTTTACTACTCCTACTGTGGAAAAATCAGTCTTATAAGTAATTCTTTTCCCTATTTGATACAACTTGCACCCGTTTGACCTATGACTCCCTAATTGAAGGAAGTCCGGGTCTTTAATTGATTCTGATTTGTATTATTTCTATAATTGTGCTAAGTCAGTACCTATTACCTTATTTTCCTTCCTGTTCTAAAACTATAAATACTCTACCCTCTCTTTAGCATAAGAGACGAACAATTACACTGTTCTGAACTCTCTCTTACACACATACATACTCTCTTACTTGATACTCAGTTGGCTGCAAGCCAAAATTGAGTGGTTACATTGCCCTGCTGCTCTATTGTTCTACTACTCTACTGCTTTACACACTACTGCTCTACTTCCCTTCATTGTACTGCTCTTCACTCCTCACTTTGCACCTATTCTCTCATTTTTTACTGGTACTTTTTCAGTTTAATTTAAAACCTCCAAAACAATATGTCTCTATTTGTATTGCACTTCCTTTTGTTTCTCTTATGCTTCTACTTGTGGTTCTGCTGCCTTCCTTGCACTGAACATGCCTATTTTGCCATGTGATTACCCTGTAATTCAGCATGTCTACTGCTTTCTTACATTTTCTACTACTATTCTGCCCTACCCCCTAACCCCCAATACATTATAAGCATGACACCTAGTTACTATGTGATCCTGAACCCTTTCCCCTAAACCTAATATGTAACTCTGTTTAGCACCCCTTAAATATGATGCTGTTAAGCTCATGGCATGAACACTTTGTGATAGACTATTGCTGGGACTATTTAAGTTCTGTAGTACTTTTCTGGTGTTAACCTGTGTGCAAATATGCTTTCGCATATGAACTACCTGTCCCCAATTCCTCCTTTCCCTGTTTGTGTTTGAACTATGTATGTTGATTTGGTCTTGAGTTGCTGATTGTCCTGTTTCTTTTCTTCTTCAAGCTGGTTTTCACTAAGGCAAACTCTTCTATTGCCTTTCAAAACGTATTTCAAACTAATCATTGTCAAAATTATTTCCAACTCAACTCTTTTAAATCTATGTGAAGCACTCTCACATATACTCTTAGACCACTAGGTTCTGCCCCTTTTGTGTGAGCCTTGCCTTGGGGCCCTTGAGTTCCCTCTGAACTTGGAAACATAAAAGCTGGTCTTTCCACACTGCACTTACTCTGTCTTGGTTATGCAATCTGGGTGTGAGCACTGCCCGGGATCCCTTAGGTCCTTAGGGAACTCTGACACACCCAGATATGAGAAAGGCTATGGAACAATCTTGGCACTTGAGGTGGTTTATTACATAACTCAGGAAGGAAGTCCTAATCAGGTGCTGAAAGTCTGGGCCTATTTCAGGCTCTCTATAGTGTAATTTTTACATTTCTTATGTAATTCATTCACATGGTCTGTAATAATTTGTAAACGAAGGGTAACTAGTGAAAAGGAAAAGTATTTACATGTTTGTGGGGTAAGGCAGGTAGAAACCATGCCTATAAGACTTTACATTTCACTATGTTTGGCCTTACCATGTTAGAAACCATGCCTATAGGACTTTACATTTCACTATGTTTGGCCTTACCACGTTAGAAATCATGTTTAGTAAGATTTTACTATACTTGCCTTACCGTGTTAGAAATCATATTTAATAGGTCTCAAAATCAGTTTCACAAATAGATGTCATACCTATAGGATATAATTTAACCCAGCTTCTGCTATAACAAGTGTTACATGTTTTCTTTCATTGGTCATCATGCCTGCAAAGTTTTTGAAATCAGTGTTAAACAACTAGATTTCATGCCTATAGGGAATAACTCTAGAAATTCTGCTTATAGATCTTAACTAGTTTAGTTAAATAAATCAACCCAGTCCACGTTTTAGTTCGTTTGAAAACTGGTTTAATTAATGGTTTATTTTCTCTAAAACAAGTTCTTCAAAAACTGCCTTGATTTGTCATTAGATATCATGCCTATAAGGATTCAAGAGTCCGCTTTAAAAAAACCCGCCTTGTTTCACTATATAAAATGTAGTCATCTGTATTCCGCGCCTAGGCAAGCCTTAGGAAATCATCTTTAAATAAAACCAGAACCGACTTTGTGATTGGTGTTTAACTGTCAACGTGTTAAAATCAGTAGGCAAGCCTGATTCGGACTTCTTTTCTGAGTCATGTAATAAATCTGGTCCCACTGTTATCACTTAAATACCTTGTTAGGATCTGAATTTAGACCTTAATTGCGTATGAGTCGTGCTGCCTATGTGCATTACTTGTGGAGGTATATCTGAGCCTTCTATCTGATTTCTGTGTTTTACCCCCTAAATGTAGTCCTATGTATTTTTATTTGTCGCCTAGTATTTTGCCC